AATATTAAAATGAGATGTTTACAATTGTTTGTATATTTCTATTTTACATGTACTCGTACTTGTTTATTAGTATAATTATGGTAAACAAGGATGGACTATTTCCTCATGGGTCTCGTAATTTTCCCCAGAATAAGAAATCAGGGATCTGCTTTTGTTTCAGTATATATACATGTGTTTCTTTAGTTTTACTATAGTGTAAAGAAGAGTAAAAATATATATCTCAAAGATTTTTTTTATTTGCAGTTCAGATTGATATTACGCTTCCGTAATTATCTTGCATGATTAACGGTCTATTGGCTTTTAAATACGTTACTGGGAATGTGTGAAGTTGCTAAATTGACTATGTGAATAAACAAATAAAGTGTAAAATTTACAGATTAATGTGTAAAATTTACAGATTAAAGTGTAAAATTTACAGATTAAAGTGTAAAATTTACAGATTAAAGTGTAGAAATTAAACAAAAGTAAAGTGTGCAAGTGGCACTAATACGCTTCCGTAACTAGTACATGATAAACAAGGATAGACTTTTTCCTCATGGGTCTAATAATAAACGACATTGAATCAAAATATATAAAATTCATTGCCGTTCCAAAATTACTATGAACATACTTTGATATCAATTTCACATTAATCTAAAATATGTACATGTTCTTCATTTATATTTTAAGAAAAAGTTATACTTGTATAAATAATAGTAATTTGCTTATAATTTGCATTTATTGTAAAATAGAACATCAGAATTAAATATTATCTTGCATGATTAACGGTCTGTTGGCTTTAATATGCGTTACTAAGGATGTATGAATTTGCTAAATTGACTATTTGTGAATAAACAAATAAAGTGTAAAATTTACAGATTAAAGTGTAAAATTTACAGATTAAAGTGTAAAACTTACAGATTAAAGTGTAAAATTTACATTTTAAAGTGCAAAATTTACACTTTAAAGTGCAAAATTTACAGATTAAACTGCAAAATTTACAGATTAAAGTGTAAAATTTACACTTTAAAGTGTAAAATTTACAGATTAAAGTGTAAAATTTACACTTTAAAGTGTAAAATTTACAGATTAAAGTGTAAATTTTACAGATTAAAGTGTAAATTTTACAGATTAAAGTGTAAAATTTACAGATTAAAGTGTAAAATTTACAGATTAAAGTGTAAAATTTACAGATTAAAGTGTAGAAATCGCATCCGTAATAAACAGAAAAATCAAAATCGTCAAAAGATGTTTTATCTTTAATATGTTGTGTTGCCTTAAATTCATTGTTAGAAAATTTCTCATTTCTTTTTTTAGCTCACCTGAGCCGAAGGCTCAAGTGAGCTTTTCTGATCACATTTTGTCCGGCGTCCGTCTGTCTGTCTGTCCGTAAACTTTTCACATTTTCGACTTCTTCTCAAGAACCGCTGGGCCAATTTCAACCAAACTTGCCACAAAGCATGGGTGAAGGGGATTCAAGTTTGTTCAAATGAAGGGCCACGCCCTCATTTAAGGGGAGATAATTGGGAATTAATGAAATTTTGGTGGTATGTTTTAAAAATCATCTTCTCAAGAACCACTGTGCCAGGAAAGATGAAACTTATGGGGAAACATCCTCAGGTAGTGTAGATTCAAGTTTGTTCAAATCATGACCCCCGGGGGTAGGGCGGGGCCACAATGGCCGACCAAAGTTTTACATAGAAATATATAGGAAAATTCTTTAAAAATCTTCTTCTCAAGAATAACAAAGCAATAATTGATCATATTTATATGGAAGCATCCTCAGGTAGTGTAGATTCAAGTTTGTTCAATTCATGACCCCCGGTGATAGGGCAGGGCCACAATGGCCGACCAAAGTTTTACATAGAAATATATAGGAAAATTCTTCAAAAATCTTCTTCTCAGGAATAACAAAGCCATAATTGATCATATTTATATGGAAGCATCCTCAGGTAGTGTAGATTCAAGTTTGTTCAAATCATGAACCCCCGGGGGTAGGGCAGGGCCACAATGGCCAACCAAAATTTTACATAGATATATATAGGAAAATTCTTTAAAAATCTTCTTCTCAAGAATAACAGAGCCATAATTGATCATATTTATATGGAAGCATCCTCAGGTAGTGTAGATTCAAGTTTGGTCAAATCATGACCCCCGGGGTAGGGCGGGGCCACAATGGCCGACCAAAGTTTTACATAGAAATATATAGGAAAATTCTTTAAAAATCTTCTTCTCAAGAATAACAAAGCCATAATTGATCATATTTATGTGGAAGCATCCTCAGGTAGTGTAGATTCAAGTTTGTTCAAATCATGACCCCCGGGGGTAGGGCGGGGCCACAATGGCCGACCAAAGTTTTACATAGAAATATATAGGAAAATTCTTTAAAAATCATCTTCTCAAGAATAGTAAAACTATAACCGGTCAAAGGTTTACTTTTGAATTTAAACTTTTCAATAATAAACCAATTTCTATTTTATTCCTAGCCACAGTGCTCAGGTGAGCGATGTGGCCCATGGGCCTCTTGTCATTATTTTGAGTCCGTGGTGATTTCAAGATAGTATCATCTAAATCAATACAAAGTTTTGATTTTTTAGGGGCATGTTCCTTCAATTCACTAGATTCAGTAGGTAAAACTGGGAAAGAACAATATTCCCCGATTCGAATGAATTTCGAGTTTCATTCTGAATCAACTTGAGAAAATTCCCTGGTACAAATGATCTGTCCGATTCTGACGTCTCCACAACACATTGTACACTTGTGGGATGAGCATCTTGTCGTAGGTTGCCTGTGACGCATACTTTCTTGATTCATTTTTACAAACTCTAATAAATTATGACACTAAAATGTCTCTTCAGAAATTATCCCAGTGACATAGATTAGTAGGAGGGAAATATTAAATTGCAAACTAAATGGGCTTTTTTTCATTTCAGAATGATTAATATACTTGAAATAAGCGATTTCATGATTACACGTGTAAGCTTGGGTAGTGTACGAAAACTAAATTCGTGGGTCATGAAATTATAAATGCATTTTGAACCTTTGCATCGTATGAACTTTGAGATTGTCTTTTGAGCCTTTTTTTTATGAAAATTGGGTTTTCTCTTAATGTAGCTAAAAAGCTGTAAAAGATGTTTTGTCTGATTTTATGCAGTAGATCTTGAACAGTTAGGTATATATTTATATCAACAGAATTTATGCATGAGTAGAATGTACGAATTTTAAATAATGAGATTTCAAGTCGTTTAAGGCATCTTTGCAGTTTTGCAATTAATGGATGACTTTTTGACTCCAGTAAGACTCACAGATTGGGAAAGACATTGCTGAACCCGTTAATTTTATATTTTACAAATGTGCCTTATCTTAACCTTTGATACTCTCCGTACCATGACTAAATACAAATTATGTATACTAGAAAAAATTCTATTACCGCAAATTTTATTTCGTTTCCAAGAATTTTATCTCATGGACACATTTTTTTTTAAATTTCTTGACCATTATTTTGGTTTCCCGCTGTTACTGAAGGTAGGGGATAATTTCGGTCTGTCTCTCCGTCTGTCTTTCAAACAGTCTTTCATACAGTCTTTCCCAGTCGTTTTCCGAAGTATCTCGAGAAGCCTTCGGGAGTTTGCAATGAAATTATACATACATCTGTAACATATCCTCTTCCAGAGAAAGACACCCTCTTTGGCGTGCAATATTTCATTTCTTTTCAAAAACCTAGAACTGCCTTTAATATGTTAAACAAAGTTGCAAGTTTCATTGCAGAAGTAAATCTTTACATGCTAAGGTTATGAATGAAAACAACTCTTGAGGAGAATTCTTCACTCTAGGATTTAAACTTGGCTTCTCTCATCTTAAAGGCTCTATATAAGCACCCAATATTTGCTCGACACTGAAAACTAAGTCACAACTTTGATGAACATCAATATTGAAAACAGTAACTCGCACATTGTTATCCCACTTGAAATGCGATTTATACTTCATAGCAAATGATATATGCATACCCTATTTTCTTTATATCATCAGTATTTGAAAAGAAATGGTGAATTAATTAAATAGACAGCAGTTAAAAACATTTTTAACCGTCCTCGGATTTTTTTAAGGGTGTTAATTTGGTTTTGTGTTTTCCGAAATATTACCACACCTATCCTATTTAAATTATTTTGAGATCCGTGTTAACATGGTTTTTTTTTTTTTTAGCTAATTATGTAAGAAAAGGGAAAAAAAAACATGTAATGAAAACCTGAAAAATTGCATTCATATTTATCATTTAAAACGCATGCAAGTTCTATGGCACGCCAAATTCACAAAAATGAGATAAACCTAGATTCACAATTGATAAACTAGTTAACGATTCGTTAAGTATAGTTAACGATTCGTTAAGTATAGTTTTCATCTGTAAAACTATATTTAACGGTCGTTAACTATAGTTTACGAATGCTAATCTAAGTTTATCTGTCTGAATAAAGCGTTAACAATAGATTGTGTTGATAAACATAGATTCACGTTTGTAAACTATAGTTTACAATCGTAAACTATAGTTAAGAGTTGTTAATCATAGTTTCACAAATCGTGAAACTATATTTATCAGATCGTTAACTATAGTTAACGGTTTGTAAACTATAGTTTACAAATCGTGAAACTGTATTTATCAGATAATCTATGTTTTGCGATCGCAAATGATTGTTTTCGATGTTAAGTATAGTTTACGGTTGTGAAACATAGATTATCGCGTTAACTATGGTTTACAGATGTAAAATATAGATTAACGTTGTTAACTATACTTTACAGTCCGTAAACTATAGTTTACAACCGATAAACCTAGTTTATGAAAACTGTGAAACTATGTTTTGCTCATTTTTGTGGATTTGGCGTGCCATAAAGTTCTACAATTAATTCTATGTCCTTTCTTTCGTATAAGAAGCCTTTTAAACAGCCTTGTTAACGCTACCTTTCTCTACTCGGTGTTTAAGGTGTAACTTGACATAAACAAACATCTCTTACGTACAGGTGCATCCGGTATATTCCTGACTTAAAAAGACTGGAGAATGAACAACTAAACGACACGGGAATCTCACCTGTTTATTGCAAAATTTTGCTAGGTCAGAATTTTTTTTTTAGCGTTTGCTTATGGTCATAAAAATGTAAATACGGCCTTTTTTACTGACCAGGCATTTGTTGTAATGGGATTTTTCTATACATAAATTTAAAAGGATTTTTAAAAGGCTTTGTGCTTGCGCTGGACAGCAGTGAGTAAAGGAAGGAAGTAAAGGTAAGTTATTTTTCCTCCGTTTTCACGTCTTTCTTCTTTGTGTTTATATTAATTTGTTAAAACGTGCATTCAGACGTATCTCTCGTTCCAACCATGCAGCGTTTAAGTACTGTCTCTACACCTTTATTACAAGTGAATGCTCATCATTGGAAACCTCTTCCGTCCTTCACGGAACTTGAAAGTTATACATGTACAATCTAACGATTACTTGAAAATGACAGTACTTTATACAGAATGTCGTGCGTTTCTATTTTCTATTACAAAGTCCTTTAAAGGATCTGTTATCATTTTCTTGTGTTTAACACAGCGTTTTCATCGTCACCCCGTCTATAAATATGATAGTATAGGCTCTGATCCTCATTTTTTTAATAATACATGTATATAATATTTAATAGGAAATTCATTTTATTCCGATGCTTGAATGAAATATTACATGTATATCCCTGTCTTAGCTTAATTACAAGTAGACCATACACAAACTGACATTTAATATCACACATTATAATTACGTATGTCAACCTGACCATTCCAAGACCCTTGTTATCTTGTCATGTTACGAGTAACCAGCCGTGTTTATGCATCCAACCGATAGTCCTTATATCGTCAACAAACACAGTTATAAATCTCTTAAAGTGTGAAATATTAAACAGCGTCCACGTCTACATAGTACTTGAGGTGCATTCTCGTCATAATATTTCGGTCCTAAGTGGGAAAAAAACCCAAATATCTTCATAGTTCTTTCAACTTGACAATAAAGGAGGTAACATATAATTTAAATGATTTTTTTAAAAAGGTAACATGTCTTTTAATTCGGAAATTAGAATTAAACCCCATTTGAACAAAAAAATATGCACAGCTTTTGGTCTCTCGCCGTTACATTTTTTTTAACTTTGCCAGTATTATTCAAATATTTACATTGGATCTGTGGCCCATTCATTCGTGATCAACCATACTCCTCTCTATTGGTACGTTTTAAAATCTCGTCCATTCAATTTATTCTGGGTCAGGAAATCTAACATGTCAAAATAAACAATGTACGTTACAATTCTGATGATACCCCAGAGCATGTGAACTGTAGCGGCATATTTTGAACTTTATAAAAATGGGGGGGAAATTTGTATGCAAGGAAGCTCAAATTTGAAGAGAAAAGGGTTACGGAGATAGACAGAGAACAATTTTCAAAATTTATACATGAAAACCTGGTGAAATCTAAGAATACGTAGAAAAGTACCAAATGGATGATGAAGGTGTAAGATCGTTTTTTGAATAATGTGAAATCATTACATAACGTCAATATGAACCAACACCGTGCGCAACGTCATGAAATTTAGTTCGGGATATTCAATTAGTCAATGAATTTTGAGTTCTAGAAATTTCTACACATGATACTATGATTTTATTGATCACTATATTAAATTTTCTGACATATAAAGATAGTTTGCTTTCAAATTTGGGTATTTATTCTCTCTCTCTTTCTCTCTTTCTGGGACACATGTCTGAAAAATTTTGCAAGCATCTCTTTTCATGCAATATTTACTTAGCATGATAATTTAAATACTTGATTCAAAGATCGATTTAGATTTCCATTACACTCTACAGAAAAGAATCAAAAAAGCTTTTATATTGCGGCTCTTATACTTATCTATCTCGCGCCGTTTCGATTTTCTTTTTTTTTTTCTTTAACTAATTCTAAATTTTTATTCCAGTCTAACAAAATTTCATTCAGAGTCAAAGGACAGTACACGACTTGCTGAGCCACGATACATTATGGGGTAAGCTATTTTTTCCCCCGTTTCATGAAAGGACAAGATATTCAAGACCCCTTTTTGGCCTATGATTTAGGGTGTCTTTAAGAATGATGCAACAGTTTAAAAACAAAAACCTGTTGTCACCCCTGCCACAAAATGAGTATTAGTTCTAAGGGATACACAGAAGTGACAGAAAGGTAAGAAAATATGTCCAGTTCTGGATTTTCTATCGATTTTACAGCACATTTTGTTTTGGAAAAATATAAAGATCTCAAACTTGCCTTTCTACCAAATTTTAATATTTCATAAACTAGTATCAGATGCATTTTATCTATAAAAATCTCAAAGAGGCAAGCTTGCGTTCTGTGCTTCCCGAAGAGAAACGTATCTCAAATATGATGAAATTCCACCAGAATTTTTTTTAAAAATCGGGAAAATGTCTTACTTCTGCACTCTGTTGTGGCCTCAGTGTAAGCTTTGAATCAAAGTTAGTGCTGGTTTTGAAACAAGCATTTTTAATTTGTTAGCTTCAAACTATCACGATTTTAACATTGTTCTGGTTTTACATCAAATAAGGGGTCAGATTCGGCAGTTACCATGTACCTTGTCCTTTAATTATGGAAATTATGAACACTTTTCAAGCTCACTAGATGATCCATGAAACTGTCCAAATTTTGAAGCAGAGGGAAAAGTGACCTCTAAACCATTAGAGGTGGGATCAGGTGCCATGGGGGAGTGTGCATCCCCTGCCGACCGGTCACACTCGCTGTGTGCTCCATGTCATGATCAGGAAATAACGGGAAAATCTGTCGACATTTCAGTGTGTAATTAATGGCCTAACAATTACTATGAAAAACGTCAGGCAGCATTTGACTCAATGATAAATTGTACTTGCTGACAAGGTCATTGTATCGACCATAGACCTTACGAAAGGATGACTCTAAACGAGCCTGCTGAAATCCTTGCTTCATCAACTTGTTTGTCAATAATTTACCTCGTTGTAGAAATTGTTCATACATAGAGCATGCTCTTGCGTATCGAATCAACTGAGATATATAAACTCCTTTGGTGAAGGCATATTGCTGCATAAGTAAGTGAAGTTGACGATAGAAAAGTTAAAGTAATCACGTTTATCGTAGAGCTCGGTTGTTAGATTACCATTGACGTCTTTTTTAAGTAAAATATCTAAATATGAAACAGATGTGTAAGACTCTGTGGTATCTTTTATCTCATTTGAAACAGTATAAATCCACTGTACCCAATTTTGGACGAAAAAAAAACTGCTTTTGAAAAAAAGGTAGGCCCAAGCCTATTTTCAAGGGTACAAGATATATACCGGTATATATATATCATCGAGCAAAATTAACATTTTTGAATGAAAATAACTTTTTAAAATATTAAATTAATTAAATTTCAAAAAACTAAACTGTTCATCTGTGGAATTCTTCTATTATTGAACTTATTCTTTTCTTTATCAATGTCATTATGTTCCCCAAACGAAGTTGGGGAACATATTGTTTTTACTCTGTTTCTTATTATTATTATTATTTTTCTTCCTGGGATAATTTTGTCCGCGAGTGATCTTGTAAACTACACATCCACTTAGGTAAAACCTTTTTAGGGTCAGTAGGGATGTTATTCAAGATTTGCCGAACGAAGGTCATTATAATGCAAGAGCGAGCACGTGCAACACGTTAAATGGCCAATATAATATATATAGCCTTAACTTTTTTATTTTTTGATGAAATGCTTTGAAACTCACAATGTAAGGATATATTAGTAGTATAGACAAGATGACATGGTCAAAATAGCAAGATCTCACGCGCATGCACGTGCACTTTGCTCTGATTGGCTGAAACTAAAGTCTTAATATCTTTCTTGTTTTTTGACGAAATCCTTTGAAATTTTGAACATAGCCATGTATTATGATATCCTACAACATGATATATAGCAAATATCATGAAAACACGTGTATGCACGTGAGTTGCAATCTGATTGGCTGAAAATTGCTATAACTCCCTTGGTTTTCAACCAAACAGGATGGGATTTGGAACGTAGATATATATAAAAGACTTCTACAAGAAGGTATGGTCACAATGCACATGCGTACACGTGCGTGTACGTGCGCTGCAATCTGATTGTCTGAAACTTTAAATAGCTCTAACTCCCTTGGTTTTCAACCAAACAGGATGGGATTTGGAGCAGAGATATATATAATGGACTTCTACAAGAAGGTATGGTCACTATACTAATTGTGCGTTTACTTGCGCTGCAATCTGATTGGCTGAAACTTTAAACAGCTATAACAGCTATAACTCCCTTGGTTTTCAACCAAACAGGATGAGATTTAGAACATGAATGTAATGGACTTCTACAAGAAGGTATGGTCACCATGCTCATGTATGCACGTTTTAAAAGATATATTAAATGAGCGATTTTTTTTACTTTTGGATTAAATACTTTAATATTTAGCATATCAAAATATATAGATTGTGTAGACAATATGATATGGTCATTACGCACGTGCATTAACTTGAGCACGCGTGCAATGCTAAAATTTGAAGGAAATTGGTACACTTCTGGGTAAACGTTGTTAAAGTCTCAAATGCATAGAGTTTGTCTTCTTTAATGAAGCTAATAGGGAATATGGCACCAAAAGGGAGTTGGGGAGCGTTTGGGGAACATCTGTAACGGTCCCCGTTACAATTAGCACTAGTTTCTTTTGAAGCAGGATTGAGACATTCCAGTTGACACTTAATTACTTCAAATTGTCAAAATAATCGTCACTCATCTCATTAAGTAATAACTCAGGGCCCGTTAATCCCGTTTCGACAATTATTTAAAAGATTCTACGTGGATGAAAGAAACACGAATGTCAATCTTGCAGCTTCTGTTCATTTATATTAAAAAAATCGTGTATTTACCGGTATATCGAGTAGGTAATAAGGCTTTCCTGGTTATTTAACAGGTCCAAAGAAATGTCTCAAGGGCGTTTGATAATCATCGCCACTTTTCTCATCATCGCCTGTATTATTGCCCTCGGACTTGGCCTCGGGTTTGTGCTAACTAGAGACAAGGATTCCAGCCAAACACCTTGTGGAGAACAAGGGACGGAATCGGGAACCTCCTCCACAGGGTCGCCACCCACCACCACCACCAAACCCGCTCCGGAGGGAACCCCATCAATCGAGGGTCATTATCGATACGCTGCCATTGCATCCGATACCGGAACCTGCGCACAAATCGGCACGTATGTTTTTCTCATGTTTGACTTCCTGGATCTTTTTTTTTCTTAATTTCTTGACAGTCTATAAGGCATACCTCTGTATATTTTTTTTAACTACACGTATTATTTATGTACGGATGAACAAAAAAAATAAAAACAACTAATTAAATTCAAATACCATTTTAATTTAAGAAAAATATATGAAGTATCTTAATTTTTTCGATAAGGAATCGTTGGACATATTGTAGAGGAATGAAAAATAAAAATAATGCCAAAAAACAGCTTTAAAGCAAATACCAATTTTAACTGTACTGGATTTCAGAGATATCATGGGTCGGCGACAAGGGACCGTGGTAGATGCTGCTATCGCCACCATTCTTTGTCAGTGTGTAGATAACAGTCACAGTTGTGGTATTGGAGGAGGGCATTTCATGACTGTATACAATAGGTATGTGCTAGTCTTGTAACAGAAATCTTGTTTAAAAACTTAATTCATTTGATTAAAATTACAGATTACTAAAAATTTACACTGTTTGTACACATTACAAATAACTTTCTTTAAGGTCATTCAACCTTCAAGTTTTTAATTTTAAAGGGCAAATAACACAGCCTACACAATCATAGCCCGCGAGATGGCGCCAGGGGGAGCAACAGAAGAAATGTATGTGCCAGAGAATAAATCTTCAACGGAAGGTAAAAATGAGTAACCATTTTATTAACAGCTATATAAACTAGTGGGTTTATCACTATAATTGCTACAATTTCTCGAATACTCGTAATATAGTTTGTTTCTGTATTAACCAAATTAAAGTCTTCAAAAGAAATCTTTTTCGGAAATATTGAAACAAAAACCTGACAATGTACTGGTATAGTCAGTGTAGTAAAGATCCATTATCCATCAAATACAAATTGAAACCCAAAACAGTTACATTTATCGCTTTAACTAAAACTTTTAGAAATGTAAATACAATGTACAGTGTATATATAATTAAATGTATGTCTCATCTGTAGGTTACCTGAGTCACTCAGGTAACCTACAGCAGCAGAACTGCAGTAATTATATTTACAAGATATATTTGTTTTTAAAAGTAATTTAACAACAGAATGATGGAGAGATAGTGAACATCGCTTCGTCATCACCGTCCCATCGCGCCATGGTCATTGCACCAACTAGTCATCGCCACGCACCGACACGTGATCACTTCATCGTGCCATCGCGTTATCGCCATCGCTTCATCATGCCATCGCCGTCGCGCTATTGCTTCATCGTCATCGTACCATCGCTTCATCGTAAAATTTCCCATACACCATTGCACTTTTGACTGCAACCTTGATGGCGCGATAGTGAACTACGTGGACCTCTCCGGATTCCATAGTTTTCCATTTTCTTTGCATATTTTCGGAATTTTTTTTGCGGAATATTATTAATATTCTTTCCATCCCTTTTGCTAGGTGGTTTAGCCATAGGAGTACCAGGTGAAATTAAAGGATTGTATGAAGCTTGGAAAATTGGCGGCAAACTTCCCTGGAAAGATTTGTTTCAGCCAACCATAAAGATGCTAAGAGAGGGATGGAGGGTGAGCCAGCCTCTGGCGTACGCCATTTCTCGTCAAACGACAGTGTTACTTAGACAGAGAAACTTAAGGTATAATTTGATTATCTATTCATGATTTAATTAACAATTCCAGAATCATTATAAACGATAATTTTAGTACAATGTATAATGAGAAAAGGACACTAAGCGTAAGATATTCATTGTGTGATATAAAATGCTGTTTGATAAAAAAAATGTTTCTCATGCACATGTACGTGACTGCATATGTACTTACCAGCACACATCTGTGCTATAAATAGATACATATGTATGAAAGTCTTTGTAAATAACATTCTTCTTTGTCATTTTTTCACTAACAGTATGCTACATTTTGAATTCTTTCTCGTGATCCACACCTAAAAAAAGATTTGTAAGTATTATTTAGAGAACTCGAGGGTTCTGTATCGTAGATACAAATTTGGGGGTGGACGAGTGCTTTAGCACGAGTCTCCACCCCCAAATTTGTATCTACGATACAGAACCTGTCGAGTTCTCTAAATGATTTGTGACACGATCAATCAAAAATTGCTCCGCCCACTTTATAACTTTGCAGCATCCAAACTTCCGCTAGAGTTCTGTAGATGAGGCCCCGACGGGGAGTACGCATCCGCAGTATATATATTTCCACGGAAAACGTAAAATTCGGTCAGATTAGTTTTGACAGTTTAACGGGGTGGACGTAATCGAGTGATAGTCAGTCTTAATGGATAAATTGGAGGATTTAACCGTCATTGTTGTGATCTATTGTAGATGGAGATTTATCATAATATATTTCAGGGGTATTAAAATTCCGGTTTAACTGGATTTACGAAAACAGGATTTACAGAAAATTTTTCGATGGACTTTGATGTCACGGATTTTTATTTTCAAATTGAATTGCGACGTTAAAAACGAAATGAAAGAGACGTGTGGCTGTCGTCAGCGAGAAGGATTTTAAAAAATAAAAAACGCGGAAAAATGGACCTGAACTGAATGATTTTGCACGGGGGGAGCGGGGTACGTACGTACAGAGGATGTTTTCCGTTATTGCGAATTTTCCTTTTAGTTTGGATCGAAATTACGTGTAGATTCTGTGTGGAATAAGTTTTTAAAATTAATAAGTGATTGAGAAATTTTGACATTTTACATTCTCAGGAAAATACAGGCTATTTCCCCCAAAATTTATAATAGGAAAACATCGGCATTTACTATTTGTACGTGCTTTTGCTAAATTGAATCAGATTTATTTTTAGACCGTGCTGTATTTTAGATACAGAATAGTTGGCAAATACAATACTGTATACAGGGCTAATACAGAACGGAAAGTAGCTCCGCCCACCACAGTCCCGTTCTGTATTGCTAATACAGAACAGTAAACTTCAAAGAAAAACACCGCTATCGTGTCACAATTAAAAAAAAAATAATGCTTTCATTAATGTCGGTATTATTTAATTCTCTTTACAGAGATGTCCTCACAAACCCGGAAACCGGACGACCATACAACGAAGGAGAAATCATCAAAATGCCTAAACTGGCCAACACGTTTGAAGCCATTGCCAACGATCCACACGCAATGTACAACGGTTCCCTGGTCGATAACATCGTAGAGGATATTCGGGAAGCAGGTATATTAGAGTGTTGATGCTCTTATATTTCCATTTCTAATTTTTTTTTCTCTGTGACAACTCTTTGAAAGTTTGCGGTGTTGATTTCTTGATAATTCTACCGGAATGTAAATTAGGCAGATCGATAGGTCAGGAGTCAAGGAGGCCTAATGTGCTTGCAAATCTCATGCGCATCTGTCTCTCTGTCTGACACTAAGGAGGCCAAATATGCATGTAAATCTCGTGCGGCTGCCTTTGTGTTTGACGTCAGTAAGTAAGTAAGTAAGTAAGTAAATTTTATTTAAATTCGGCATTGTATACATTGCATAACAAGAAACATGAGCTCTGTAGAGCTCTTAAACCAACTATCACAGTTAAAATATCACAAGAAAACATTTACAACATAAATTAACATGCAAAAACACATGTACATATATATACACGTAAATATGTAGATAAAACGAATTTTTAAGAATTAAACAAATTTTAAGAATTAAGAACAATTGACGTGGGCAAGGACTATTGAAATTGGCATTGTAGTTCTTGTTTAACTTAAATCTATGTCAACGTTTCTAAAATCTAAATCTACAATTTTATTTCACAATGAAATGGAAAATATAGGGAGTCACTGTCTAGTTAGTATAGATGCCGGGGCATCAACGATAGTGGGAAACATGGGATAATTTGCATAACGGGCGAAGCTTACATGTATTTGATTACGAAATTCTTTTGAGATATTCAACATTTCATTTCCGACATTTTGTTGTTTTAATTTCCACATTTTATACTTTTCATCTCTAACATTAATTTTATCATGAAGTACTTTTCTGACAACGAAAACAGAATTCAAGACATTCCTTCTGAAGAAATGTTTTAAAAGAATATTTAGATAAATGATATCCGATATGAATTCTGTGCAGTCATGACGGTTGTGCACCGTCGTATAAATCAGTGGAAATGGAACAAAAATTGCGTGCTCATTTAACTCACAAAGAAATTTACCCAGAATTTTGGTGCATCTATATATACAATGTATTGTACTACTAGTATCTTTTTTCGGGAAATGTGGTTTGAAATATTTTTTTATCCCTTAAAATTTTATTTTTATCTCAGTATTTGATTATAACTTTAGATATGCTCGAAAGGTACTCTTAAAACTCTAGCAATGTCGGAAATAAAAATGAAAAAGCTGTCGGAAATTATAATTTACTTTTTGATTTACTTTTTGATCTGACTCATATTCATGATTTTGGGTCTCCAAAAGCAAAACGGGACTTTGCTATCATAATCATATGAGAGGCGGTATGATATAGTGAGCTCAGTGCTCACAGTACCTCTAGTTTATACAGTTGACATTTCATCTTTAGAACTATGATAAGATGTGTCCTGTGCATGAAGATTTTGGAATTTTCAATTTTACCTGTTGGACCATTTGATGGGGGAGGGGGGGGGAGGCTTTCATGCAGGAACATACCGGCGGCTTTCAGTATAGGTGGAGGACTAAACTTACTGTAGTAGAGTCGAGAGTTTCTGCCGACAGTAAGAAAAATCGACAGAGTTCAATTTATAAACACGAATATTTTACTCAACCTTTGAACGTACGGTGCCTACCCCAGCAAATGGACCCTAAAAAATAGAAATCTTGATCAGATAAATAAATTAAAGTTCATGACCCGTCTTTTTTGCGATTCGTTTTTCGTAGTATTCCTGTCTTAAAAATACATGTATTATGTTATTGTTAGTTACGGTTACTTAAATGCAAATCGACTTTTCAAAAAGCTTTCCTGACTAAAGCAATCAATGTCTATAGAGTATATAGACATTTTTTCACCCCCACTATTTTAATGGTTCAAAGTATAAAAACTGCATTTATTTTCATCTGATATAGTTAAAATTTACCAATTATTGCAAAAAATATATGGTTGTCATATTATTAAAGATGGGAGACATATTAGATAAACAGATGTATGTGTCAACATAGAATAACCTCACCTTACATTTTTTAAATCAGTATTCTTAAAATTAATTATGTAAAAACTGGTTAAAATGCAGAATTCTGATGCTGAAAGTTCCAAAATACTTAAAATACTTATAAGATACTTTGATTTGTGAATATCAGGGAACCTATTGTATAATAACTTACCAGGTGAGAAAGAACCCTTTTTCAAGCTATGTACGAGTTATGGTTAAAGTACTACATTTTTTTTTTTAGATTATAAACAGAGGTTATAAATTTATAATTTAATTTTCCTCTGACGTACATAATTATAAAATTCACTCGTTTCATACGAAAGTGTGCCTATTTTGGTCAACATTGCAGAACAGAGTAATGTAATTTTTTTATAGGTGGGATTATTACAAAAGAAGACCTTAAGAACTATGTAGCAGTTGTGAAGGAGCCATTAGTTGTAAAACTTAAGGACAATTCTACCATCTTTACGCCACAACCGCCATCTAGCGGAGCAGTGTACGCCATGATTCTCCAAATTGCAGACGGTATATTGATATAGGAAGTTGAAATACATGTATACTTTAAGATATAACGGTCTATGCTCCAAAGACCTTGAAATGTATAGAAAAAATGTGTTGTTAGCAATAAAATTTTCTTAAAACAAATGAATGCATTAATATTGTGTAGGATACGGATTTAATCCTGATAGTGTCTCAACCACTGAAAAGTCGACATTAACCTGGCATAGAATCGTAGAAGCCATGAAGTTTGCTTATGCAAAGAGAAGTAGTCTTGGGGACCCAGACAAAGAGAGTCAAAGTTTCAAGGAAAATATCGATTCGGTATGAATTTTCTTACAAATTTTCTTACAAATCAAACAGAAACACGTCCGCGTTTTCCGCTTATGGTTACGAAGTTTGAGTACTCGGGGATAATAATATGAAGTCATCAACCTATGCAGAATATGTTCCTAGCCTTGTTTCCCTGGCCTTCCCATAATGCTGCGCAAAAGGCAAGGGAAATAGGCTTAATATGTTCTTTCTTTTTCAGTTGATTAATAATATGACGTCATCAACCTATGCCAAATATGTTCGATCTTTGATATCTGATACTTCTACACATGACACCATGTACTACGGGCCGACATTTTACGACCAGTCAAAAACGGGGACGTCACATTTAGCAGTTCTGGCGCCAAATGGTGATGCTGTCTCACTCACCAGTACAATAAATCTTTAGTATGTATACAAATCTGCAATACTTTAAAGAATTACCAAAAATATATATATATATTTATTTCCATCCTTCTTTCTCATAGCGCATTTCAGAGAATTACCAAAAAAACCCATATATTTGATATTTTGCAAGTCTTTTTTCATTTCCCTAGTCTTCGGAGAAAAAAATCTAAGAATTATCACTTTTCTAAACCTGTGACATGATATTTAGTCACCTCCAAAGAAAAAAATGTACCATATGTCCTTCAACTTAAAGAAAATTTAATAATAGTTAGAACTATTTGCGTTTGATTTTTTTTTCCTGCAAGAACATCCATTGATACTTTGACCCTAGGAAACGATTACATTGAAAAATTATCTTTAAGTACAATGTGAGGTACGTTTTCTGCATTATCACACTTTTTTGCTTGAATAGTTTTGGTTCAAAAGTGGTCGGAAGCAGAACAGGGATATTTTTTAATAATGAAATGGATGACTTCTCTACACCGAACACAACCAACTCATTTGGTGTTCCGGCCTCGGCGGCGAATTTTATCAAGCCAGGTAAAAGACCACTGTCTTCCATGTGCCCTAGCATAGTGGTGGATTCAGATGGTCACGTGAAGTTAGTGGTGGGAGCTTCCGGTGGAACTAGAATTACAACATCCACGGCTTTGGTACGTTTGTGGTAGTAGCTTAGAATGTGTGAATTAAGAATTTAATGTAAAATGTTGAAATTATTCATTCATTAAAATTTTTATGAGCTATAAAAGACGGAAGAAATTTCAATTCCCTCTCAAAAGAAACATAATACGTGGAAAAATTGAACATTTATCACAACAACACAAGCTGAATCGAATTCTGAACCGTTCTGGTAGACCCATTTTGGCTTTGGCTTTTTTTAGTATGCTAATATGCCCCCTGCTTTCACTGAAAATGGGGGGGGGTATAAATTTTGGTCTGTTTGTCCGTCTCGAGAAGCCTTTAAGCTTTTGCAACGAAATTTTATATATCAACTCCATGTGGCCTAAGGAAGACCCTGGTGATTTTGAGGTCAATAAGCACAGGCGCTTGTTTCATACAGTGAGCTTAGTTTTCTACTGTTATTATATAGTAGAAAACTAAGCTCACTGTATGAAACAAGCGCCTGTGTCAATAAGTCAAAGATCAAGGTAATAAAAAAGGGATAAATTATACTGTCTGTTTAAACATTTTCGTTTCCACTTGAGCAGCCTTTGAGCTTTTGAAATGAAATTTTATAAATCATTTCTCTGTGGTCTACGGAAGATCACTTTTGATTTTGAGGTGCAAATATCTATTGAAGGTCATTCTGTTTATGTGTAAAACTTTCATTTCAGAGCGATATTTCAAGAGGCTTTTACAATAAACATTACGTAGCTCTCTATGGCACCGCCCGCCCTTCTTAAATATCCCCTCTCCCATCCCCCACCCCTCCCCGATCAACGAATGCTTTTATTTTTTTCAAGGCATAAGGCACGGATTCTCTGAATTTGCATGCTCTTCGACTTTGTAGACAATTAATCCGCATCAGAAAATTATATTGGGGGTTTGTTATCGTCTCGGTTTTCAATTCATTAAAAGTTATAAAGTTTGAGATTTGATTTATAAATAATTGAATTCGTTTTAGGTTAGCATTGAAACTTTGTGGTTCAAGTATGGAATTAAGAAATCAATAGATCACAAACGACTGCATCATCAGCTGTTGCCAGCATACATCACAGTGGAAAACGGATTTGACCAGGTATGTTTTTATATTTTTTTTAGATACTACATGTACTATAAAGGATTTTTATAGGATTCAGGAGAACAAATATTAAACTTCTTTCATATTGTTTTAAATTTAACATACGGATGTTGACTACTAGTAGTTCCATAATAATGGAAGGAAAATGTACTCTTTCTAAAACTAAGAATTGTAACCTGCTCAGTTTTACTGATGAGGTTTACTTACTTTGAACAAATTGCCTCTTATCGTCGGATACCCACGGGTGATTTCGTCTTATCCTCCATGGTGGCTGCACAACCCCCCTCCCCCCCATTGGTATCCGATGATGACCGTCTCTGGGCTATCTGTAAAATTTGTTTACTTTCCAGCAAGTGTTAGAAGGGTTGAAGAATATTGGTCACAACATCAGTATGTCGGACTCCGCCGGTTCAGTAGTACAGGGCATTTTACAGTTGGAGGAAGGAAAGATAAGCGCCAATGCCGACTATAGAAAGCGAGGAGTTCCGGATGGTTATTAGTACCCTTCCCAGTATTCCATTTGCGTACTCTCAACGTTTTCCAAGAAGAAGGGTCTAAACCATTTTCAGTAATTTTTTTGGTGAATAAATTTAATCAATTTTCATTTCTATGTATTTAATATTCGGTGTAAAATTAAATTATTTGAATTTTTGTAGCTTTATCAAATAAATCAACAATTACTGCCTGAGATAACCCAATAAAGAAGGTGCCATAAAACTGCAATCCCAATATGAGTATGTTATAGAATAGATAGAGGCCAATCTAATTTAAATCAGATCTTTGAAGAGGTCCAACTAGATCGCTACACGATACAAAATTGATTGGGTAAGGACGCATTGCTATAAGTAACAATTGGAAAATACAAAGATATAAAACGAGACACAGCACTTTTTTTTGAAAGATTTCTTTTTTTCACTAAGTGGGATTGTAGCCTTCTGGTGGCCCATCCGATTTTTTTAGGCCTACAGTCACCACTATTATATATACATGTTAAAAGATTTAAATTAATATTATATTTATCATTTATTCCAAGCTCTATGATTGGCTCAAACTTGATCAAATGATTAAGTATATAACAGCATAAAGACGAGTTACTATTTATAGAATCTGAAATGCATATCGACTTGGTGTTTCTTTTAAAAATGGAGATAATTTTCTATAAAACAAAAAAAGTACTGATTTCACAATTATAGCTAATACAGAATATGACTTGATGTTTCTGAAAATATTTATTTCAACTTGTATTATTTTTTTTCATGTTCCGTAATTGATGAGACATAACAATGCCCTGAAGCCTTGAATTATGATATACTTTATATTAAAACATATTGGATATGCTTGTCAAAAATTGATACAAAACGTAATCAAATAAATTATTTTGAATAAGTAAATTCGATCCTCTAAATTACTCCATTAATATAAAGAAAACACATTAACTTTAAATAGCTTATTTTATGTTGATCTCTAATCTCTAAGTTCTAAAGAGGGAAAACTTGTGTCTTGTTCCCATTGTTCTCACATTTTGTTTGTCAATCTATGTGAAAAATAATATAATAAATGTAGCCCTTTGATTCGGTCGATCCATAGATATATCGACTTCACAGAAAAGCATATCGACCTTGCACTTCGTGCTCGGTCGATATGCTTTTCTATCTATGGATCGACCGAATCAAAGGGGTATATTTATATAATATCTAGCTCACAAAGTCCAACATTTACAATGTATATACATGTACATGTGAACAATTTCTTTAAAAATGTGTATTACCTTTTATATCTAGCTCATAAAATATACAAGAATTGTTTTTAAGTTATTACGAATAATTTTACGAATGTTTATTATTTTAAAAATATAAATTTATTTTTATACGCTATATGTTTCTTTGTATATGGAGTCTATTTTTAGTTAGAATTCCATTTTAATAGAATGCAATATCTACATACTTGTATGTACGTGTTATATGTATGGACTTTTGAATTTTTACATAGTTTATTAATATAAATATTAAATAAATGTATAATAAAATTTATAATCTATTTACATGTTTACGATATGTAATATTATGTGGAATGAACGTATTTTTTTTTAACTTATCGATAACTTTAATTCATATTTTAAAGTATTTTTTTCTTGATTTTCCAAATAATAAGTTGTACATATTTACCCAGTATATAAACAAATGATAAACATTACACAATGTCATCCTCTCTTTCATTCCTCGTATTTGCAATATGTACAGATTTAATTGATTATTCATTTTATGTGTCAGTGACTCAGCGTACTTAAAATCCACATTCTGTGCATCATCTATTTACTTTTAAAGATATATTCATTTCAAATGAATACTTGAATTAAACATTCTAAAAATAAAATGTTATTATCGCTATTACTTGGCTTATGTACATGTGTATTATATTTAATGCATCAACTTTTATCCCAAGCATGATGAACAGTTATAGAAGTTTCACTAGACTTCGATTTCCTTGAAACTTTTCACTCAAGGCCCCAAATAAGGCATAGGTTTCAAATACAATTTTTAAAGTGGATTTTTGCGGTCCAGAAGAATGGATTATCCTTCTTTATTCAATTTTTACAGTTAGGGTGTCTACAATTTCCTTTTAATTATGGTCGGTTTGTGACAAACGTAACTATGTAACTACATGTACATGTACTTCTGAACGATGATAAAATTGTTCTTCAAAAAGTAGACAATTTTGGTTATTAAAGACACTCCCATTTTTGCATTTTTGCCAAATATATTGTTTTTCCTAAGAGTTGAAACTTCTAATATTTTTATGCCCCCATCAACGAAGTTTCGGGGGTATCTAATTTTTACCTTGACTGTCTGTCTTTTCATAAAAAACTTTAACATTGCTCATAACTTTTGACTGGGTGGGGCCATGATGACTTTCCTATTTCACAGGTGTACTCCTTGTGACAAGACCTTTCTTTGAGTACCGCCAAAATTGAACTCTTGACCGTTGAGATTGACTAACTTTTACTTTGGCCATAATTTTTGAACAATAAAGACTAGTACTTTTACACTTCACATATGTAATTCTTGTGACAAGACCTTTCATTGGATACCAATAACTTTGACCTTGAGATTGATTTACTTTTAAAAATCTTTAACCTTGTCCATAACTTTTGAACGGTAAGGGCTAGTGCTTTTATACTTCGCATATGTAATCCTTGTGACAAGACCTTTCATGGGATACCAACAACCTTGACCCCGGAGTTTGACCTACCTTTAAAAAATATCCTTGGCCATACATTTTCAACAGAGGGTGCTAGAGTTTTATATTTTACATTTGTACTTCTTGTTAGATGGCCTTACTTTGGCTATTAACATGTTTGATTTGAATTTAGCTTTCACTATGTGGTCATACGGGGCAATAGTGTTTCACAAACCCATTTTGTTTGTACAAGTAATACCGCGGGAATGATTTTGTAAGAAAACTTTTAGTTCTAAACATCCTTGCCTTGATTAATACACAACAAGATTGCCACTTTTCCTAAGTGTTAAGAATAAAATTAAAATTTGTGAAAGTGCAAGGATGTGTCAATCAAACCCGTCCAAAAATTTGAAGTTTCAATAACTTTTAGAAGAAATAAGAATTTTTATATATTTTCGTGTGAAATGCTATAGTACGGAAGCTTATTAGTGCCACTTGAACACTTCACTTTTTTTTAATTTCTACACTTTAATCTGTAAATTTTACACTTTAATCTGTAAATTTTACACATTAATCTGTAAAATTTACACTTTAATCTGTAAATTTTACACATTAATCTGTAAAATTTACACTTCAATCTGTAAATTTTACACATTAATCTGTAAAATTTACACTTCAATCTGTAAATTTTACACTTTAATCTGTAAATTTTACACATTTATTTAATCTGTAAATTTTACACTTTAATCTGTAAATTTTACATTTTAATCTGTAAATTTTACACTTTAATCTGTAAATTTTACACTTTAAAGTGTAAATTTTACACTTTAATATGTAAAATTTACACTTTAATCTGTAAATTTTACACTTTATTTGTTAATTCACATACCGGTAGTCAATTTAGCAACTTCACACATCCTCAGTAACGCATTTTTAAGCCATAGACCGTTAATCATGCAAGATAGTATTTAATTCTGATTTTTTATTTTACAAGCAATGCAAATGATAAGCAAATTAGTATTACTGATACAAGTAAAACTTTTCTTAGAATATAAAAGAAGAGCATATCAAACATACATGTACGTATTCTCGATGAATGTGATATTGATATCATCATAGGCAAATTCGTTTAATGCGCGCAGAAGTTCAATTATTGAATCTGTAATTTAGTTAAATTAATTGAATTTTTTCTAAATAACCAAAAGTATATACATGTACGTATATAAATAACTAAAAGATGTTTATATTAATTTTGGAACGGCAATATTATTTATCGACCGTTTGATTATAACCGATAACAATTCAGGTTGTTCAAAATAAAGTGTAAAATTTACAGATTAAAGTGTAAAATTTACAGATTAAAGTAAATAATTTACAGATTAAAGAGTAAAATTTACAGAATAAAGTGTAAATTTTACAGATTAAAGTGTAAAATTTACGGATTAAAGTGTAAAATTTACGGATTAAAGTGTAAAATTTACAGATTAATGTGTAAAATTTACAGATTAAAGTGTAAATTTTACAGATTAAAGTGTAAAATTTACAGATTAATTTGTAAAATTTACAGATTAATGTGTAAAATTTACAGATTGAAGTGTAAAATTTACAGATTGAAGTGTAAAATTTACAGATTAAAGTGTAAAATTTACAGATTAAAGTGTAAAATTTACAGATTAAAGTGTAAATTTTACAGATTTATGTGTAAAATTTACAGATTAAAGTGTAAATTTTACAGATTAATGTTTAAATTTTACAGATTAATGTGTAAAATTTACAGATTAATGTGTAAAAGTTACAGATTAAAGTGTAAAATTTACAGATTAATGTGTAAATTTTACAGATTAATGTGTAAAATTTACAGATTAAAGTGTAAATTTTACAGATTAATGTGTAAATATTACAGATTAAAGTGTGAATTTTACAGATTAAAGTGTAAATTTTACACATTAATCTGTAAAATTTACAAATTAAAGTGTAAATTTTACAGATTAAAGTGTAAAATTTACAGATTAAAGTGTAAAATCTACAGATTAAAGTGTAAAATTTACGGATTAAAGTGTAGAAATTTAAAAAAAGTGAAGTGTTCAAGTGACACTAATACGCTTCCGTACTATTGCAATATACAAGTCTTGATATTATACAGAAAATTTGAGTAAATATTAACTTCAAATCTGTGTTTATGCAGCTTTAAGTTGGGCTGGATATTTTGTTCTTGGTTTTAAACCTCTTTAAACATGTCTTAATGTAGCGGGTATTCCCGGCAATATGATGGAAAACACCAGTAGTAGTAGTTTAACACATTTATTATGATGACATCTTTAGTATTCGGACAATGGAATATTGGAATAATGGAATTTATAAGGAAGTCCTGCAATATACAAATTGCGTCATAAAAATATGTACAAAATAGTATTTCAATTAAACATTCTGATTATAAAAATATAACAAATTATCTGTCTTCCCTTTTACAATAAATTATCATCATTCTATATGATAACACATGAAGCATATACTTTATACATGATATAAGGGAGGTAACTCTTATAATGCAATTACACTTTACAATCTTGTGAAGAGTTATCTTTCTTTGATATTTCTTTACAAATCATAAAAATATATATACAGATAGACATACCAATCTATGGAACTGAACTTTCTCCAATGCAAGTTTACATATTCGTTATATATGGAGATACCTATGTACAATAAATGTAATAATAAGGACTTGCTCTATACAAATACCTTTCTCAAAATAAATAATTATTTAAGTTATCTTTATTACCAAAATCTTCACTTCAAAATATTTTCAGGTTTATATACAAATTGATCTTTAGGAAAACTTCATCAGATTTATCAATATCTGAATAAATAGACAGATAACTCAATACGTAACAATTAAAAGTAAAATATCTTGTTTTCCACATTTTTAACTAAATATTATAGAAAACATATATTGTAGAGAGCATAAAACAAGTAAAAACTTACATTTCAGGAATTGTCCAAGGTCTCAAGGTCTTAGGAAATAATACAAAATCAGCAACAAAGTAAACTACGTCTTCTCCATATGAAATCAGAAATCTAGAGTCTAAACTGAATAAAACTCACTACACCACAAAGACCAAAACACTAACCAATGAAAACTAAGCATTTCAAAACTTGACCAATAGATATGTGTGTGTTCATGTAAAAGTGTATGTACAGGTGCGGATCCAAAGGGGTGTATAACTATAGCACTAAATACCCAAGTTAGTAAAGAATGAAAAGAATAAAGCTTTAACGGAAAACTATCATTTATAACTTATTTAATAGTTTATTTTATTTTATTTATATTTAATATTTATATTATTTCATTTAAAATCACTCCCTTTTATTATTTCAAATAAAAGTACCTCTACTTCAAACTCCCCCCCCCCATTAGAAAATGACGTCCCCGTCATTTCTCTAATGGACTTACCAAATATACTCTGCTCTGTTCCTGCAATTCTTCAAGCTAACTGGACGATCTGAAATAAAAATAAATATGTACAATTAAAAACAGATTAATTTCTCCTTAAAATATCTAACATGGTTTGAACTATTTCCTTTTCATATGATTTCATTTCCTTTGATGATTTCAAATGATGTAGATAGTCACACTTCTTCATCCATTCTTGTTGCTGCTGTTGTTGTACTAAAACAAATTCCTGGGGGTTTAATCTGTCTGGTTTTCTTCTCTCCCTATTGCTTCTTCTTGGTATAACTGGTACAGGTTCTTCTTCTTCAGATCTGGTACTACTGGCTTCAGCATTTTCCTGCTGTTGCTCTGTCTCTTCTGGCTGTAGTTCCGTTACTTCCTCATCTGCATCATGATGCTGTATTTCTTCTTCTCTTTCCTTTCTTCCTTCTATATGATCCATCTGTTGTATGGGTCTCTGTACAGTCTGCTCTCTAGGGCTATGTACAATCTGCTATCTAGGGCTATGTACAGTCGGCTTTCTAGGGCTATGTACAATCTGTTCATTAGGGCTCTGTACTCTCTGCTCTCTAGGGCTCTGTACTCTCTGCTCTTCTGATCTCTGTACTCTCTGCTCGCCTGGGTGCTTACTAATATCTACTGGGATGTTAACCTCAGGGATCATTGGTATCGGTACCGGAATAAATTCTATATCTGAGTCTTCATCAGAACTAACATCTCTGTCATCTTCTGATTCTCTAGTCTCTGATGTTTTCTCTTGAACCTGTCCTTGTTTCTTCAGTGTCTGCCTTGTCCTGGGTTTTGGAGTAGGTCTGGAAGTTGATGGTGATGATTCATCTACACTGGTTTTATATGAATCTAAATGTCCAATAGGGAGTAAAAGGTTTCTATGTAAAGTCCGAGTTTTTCCTTTTGTTGTTTCTTTCTGTACTTTATATACTGCGATTTCTGGATTAGGATGTTCAATTACCAAGTACGGCTCTTCTTCCCATTTATCAGCAATTTTGTGCTTTCCATCAAAAGCTACAATTTTTACAAGTACTCTGTCTCCTATCTGTATTTCGGCATTTGTTGTTCTTCTATCGTAAGTGTCTTTCTGTCTTTCCTGTGATTTCTTGGTAATTT